CCAACTTTAATTGCATATTATGTGTCACAAAATGAGTCAACAGAGGTGAATCACCCACTATCATGTATTTATAGGCATCTTACTGCGAAAGAGAGTGGTGTGGTGTTCGCTTGAATTAAGATAAGACCTTTATAATTTTACTGCATTGTGAATGGACTAAGCCTAGACTTAGTTACCCAACCTAGCAGGTCAAACAACATACTGAAACTAAGATGACGATACAGAAATTCTAGTCAAAACCAGTTTCTTTGCAACACAAATCAGCATGGCTCAGAAAAATAAACTAGGAAATAGTCAACTGAGCTAGACAGAATTTAAAAATCTGCATTGCTCATCAATTACTGGCAAATTCTTTCACAGCATTGTGAATCATTTGTTGTGTCTTTAACTAGAAGCCGAACCTTCAAGTGAACCAGCTGACATCGTTTGTCACGATATGATGCAACATTTCCAGTAGTGGCAATATTTGCAGGTAGATTTTGGATTTGAGCTCTTGGTGTTGTTGGGTGTGGTGTGCCGTGCAAAGATAGTATTGTTACCAAAAGTTACGAGGAGACTTCCTGAATGTCACCTTAGCTGACTCCATAGGCAATATAAAGCTGAGCGATATTATGTCAAAATGCTAGTGGGCTGAGAATTATTGTATAAAGTTTCAAAGCAACAGGGTGCCGGTTTAGCTTGCCGTGATGAGTTGGCGGCCAACTGGCCTGGGTTCGAATGTGACCCACGGCCCTTTGCTGCATGTCTTTTCATTTCTATCATCATGCAAAATTTTCCCTAAACTCTATACTCGTCTTTAGTTAAACATAAACAAAAACAACAAAACATAAGAAGTTGCTGAACAAGTCTGCTCAAGAGACGCTAGTACCGCATTGATTATTTTGCAGGAGTTCCCGTTTGGTTTTTTGCAAGTCATTCACTTTGCGTGTGCTGAGCTCTGTGTTTATGTTCTTGGAATTAAGTCAAGCACCGAAAGTGTGGCCATTTGCCAAGGGTGTGGCATGTCACCTCTGGTGCAGCATTAGATATTCACTGACAGGATATCAATGTATATTTAAGGCCTGATTGTGTTTGATGTGGCTAGGAACATCATGTGTATGTCTGGGACAAGAGAGTAAGGACCCAGGTGTGGGAGGAAGAGGAAGTTACTGCAAGTCAATCATGCTGTTTATGTATCTTAGGTACTAGGATATCACACTCAGAAGAGTAACAGAATTAACCCTTTAGCATGTTTTCATTCTAAATAATCATATTAAAATTTTGTATTTTTCAAGACACTTTTATACATACATTAACTGTGAGATAGTCAAGGAAACAAAGTCACTTAATCTGGCTGAACCAAAGTTAATGGATCACCTGGGACTATTGAGACTTAGAAATGTGAACCCTGACATTATCCTTTAAATCCTGTTAAGTCCGTGTACCAATGTATCTCCAAAACACCAACTATTCTTTAAATGACAGTAACCAAGTGATTATACGGAGGTTATTAAGAACCTTTTCTGCACAATGCTGTATTGACAAATTGTGCAGATCACCCACGCAATACAAGCTGGAGGATATTGCTAAGTGTCAGTATTACTAACTGCCATCACCAAAGAGGCTTTAACAAATCATCAGACTGATTTTTGAATAAAAGTAGCAACTCAGATCAACTGTTAAACAAGTCAAACATGGCTCTTTTACTTCTAGCTTTAAACTTTCCCATTAGCTGACTCACACCTCACATGCTCACTACATTCACCCCCAAATATTAAAAGGAAAATTCTTTGAGATGGGATAAAACAGACTCATTCCATTTGATGTATGTGCACCGATGATCAGTGTTTCTACACTGAACAACAGTGTGCTGTCACATCTACACTACTGTGCAAGATTTTTGAGACATCCTCCATTTCTTCATAATTTGTTTCTAAGGTGCTAGACTTTTGTTTTTTAAGTGTTGTTGAGCACTAGTTTTCTGAAAGTCTTTCACAGTTTTTGGGGGTTTTTGGACCTTGACTGTCTTTTCACTCATTTTCAGTCTAGTCCTTGTCCCTGAGCATTTTCAGAAGATTAAAGAAGATTTTGCTTGTTGTTGTAGTTTGTTAAAGTTGCTTAACATTGACCTACGAATCATTTAAGCATAAAAAACAAGGGATGTTGTGCCTACACATAACAAACAACTTAACAAAGAATCCACGTTAAAGTGTGTCTTTAGGTCCTTTGTTACTAGCAGCCTGTAACAACAAAGCCCAATTTGTTCCTGTTTCTTTAGCTGAATCTATAAAAAATGCCAAAGTGATATGATAGTATGCTATTTCATGATAGTGTTTTTCCATCAATAAGGTGATTGCCAAAGAGCTATTAGCCAATAACTTGGCATATCTCAGCATGGTGTACAGTGTTCTTCATTCATTTGAGGAAATGGAGGACAAAATACATGACAGGCCTAAAACAGATGAAAGACATTTCTTAACAAATAGGGGGAAATAACACCAAAGGCCTCAGATATTCAAATTTTTGTACTTGTCACATACACAGTTCAACATGCAGTGAAATGCTTGTGTACGAGCTGTAGATAAGCTGCAGACATAACCGCGCCATTCCAGGGCTTGGTTTTAGCATTGGGGGTCTAGCCAGGACCCTTACAGGATACCAGGTAGGAATCAAACTTGCAACTCCCACCCCGAAGTTGTGTAGCCTTACCACTACACTATTCAGCTGCACATAGGACATGAAAGATCCATTTGGCCCATTAGTTGATCCATGAACTATTCACCAAAGCCTCATCAGAAATGGTGTCAGGGGATGGATGGCTGTCAAGAAGCCATTCTTAATGAGCTATGCCGAATTACACAAGAACTGGACTGAAAATCATTTGCAACAGGTCTTAAGGAGTGATGAGTCCAAATTTGAAGTATTTGGTTCAAATTGCTGTCAATATCTAGGGAGAGGTTCAGGAGAGAGGTACAACAGTTAGTGGCTGCAGCCGTCTGTAAAAATAGTGGGGCTGTATTTCTTGGAGATCTTGTCAAAACTGATGAAATTATGAATCCAGAAAAATAACATCAGCATTTGATCCACCATGCAAAACCATCTGAAAAGCATTTGATTGGTAATTGCTTCGTTTTTCAGCATGACAGTGATCCCAAATATGCTAATGCAGTAACAGTATACCCAGATAGAAGAAAACACAATGAAAGTCACGGATTGGCCTTCCCTGAGTCCAGACGACAACATTATTGAAGCAGTGTGAGATCATCTTGATACTGAATAGAACAAAAGGCAGCCAACACCCAAAGAGCTTTGAATGTTCTCGAAGAAGCCTGGAGAACTGAAGACTATAAAGAAGTTACAGCAAAGCTGGAAGTGTGCTTAAGAGTTCAGGCTGAATAAACGTACTGAGAATTGTACAAACTCTTGTTTTTGCCTCATGTCCTGCACTTTCATTTGCATTTCCATGTTTCAATGACCTGTTTCTCAATTTCCTAGAAAATATAATGACATGAGGGATAGTCCAATGACCTGAAAAACCCTGATAAGCCACTTCCAGAATCTCCCCTGTTGTATTTTTTTCTCCTATGATACCATACAAGATACCCAAACAATTTATCATTTTAATGCCTTGTTAGGACTCCAGCGATTGTTTTGTGCTATTTAGAAGAGTCCGATCATGGACTTGCTAAGGGTAAGCCTAATTGTTTGAAGCACATTAAAATATCAATTATCTATTTCTCTATGCAGACTGGTTCTTTTTATCATGGCACACATTCTTTTTCTTGAACTAGGCTGAGGTACATTGACCTCTTTCTGTGTTCAAAAGACTCAGAAAACAAAGGAGAGCATTATAAAAACTGGAAAGTCATTTAACAGGCGTCATCACACTTGCTAGAGAATTCTTTTCTTTCTTACTTGTGTCCAAACATATTGTTGTCCTTACACTTCTGTGAAACAATGGTCCTTTCTTCTTGGGACAGCTCTGTCGTCACACATACAGTTGTGGACAGCAGTTTACACACTCATCATGGGCATGAAGGTCAGCTTTGGGCTTTGAATGATTTCTTTGAACTGTTCTTTTTCCAGGGTGGACTGAGTGCATACCACAACAAGTTGCACCTCAACCAAAAACATTTGGGAACTATCAACAAGTTTCTGGTACTTCTGGCTGGATATTTAATCACTCTTCTTGATTCTGAATAGGAATGAGGCTGGGGCTTTGGGAAGGCCATTCAATAACCTTAATATTATCCTTCTGTATCCTTTCCAAAATCAGTTTTGATGTATATTTGGGATCATAGTCCTGCTAGAACACATAATCAAGTATCTCCTTTTCCACAAAGATCGTCTAAAACAGCCCAGACAAAATTATTGTCAACCCTTACATGGGGTGACATGTGGACATTTCATTTCAAGCAGACAAGCATGAAAAAGACAAAAGAAATAACCCCAAGCATGGTTAAAGTAAAGGCTTAAATAACCTCTGTCTCTGTGCTGACAGTTAAATTATCAGGAAGTATAAAGTCAACGAGTCCACAACCACCTCAGCTAGACGGGGAAAATAGAAACAAAAAACTGTCCAGAGGCTGAACAGAGGGAAACCTTCAAAACAAGTTTCTAAGATTAAAGTAATCCTGAGGAATTATAGAGAATGGACACATAAAGGAGCTCGATAGCTCAAAAAGCATGCAGGTTTTTTTCTGTTTTTTGTATAGATGTAACAAATGACATCCTTTTTTGATATGACATATCTTAGCATAACATAACGACGCAGGGATTTATTGAAACTCAAAGCCTGCATCTAATAGCGCCAAAGAATAAAGAAAACAGCTGACCATTCTACCATGGGCCCTGATTTTAATCCATCTGAACGAACTGCAGGAAATGTTGTGGATTTCCTCTGCAGCTCACTCTCCAGAGAGAGAGAGAGAGAGAGTGTGTGTGTGTGAGTTTCGGGTTGTTGGATAAAAGATATGTTGTTGTTATTCTCGCTGAAGTGTGTTTCATCTGCGTAACTATTATCTAATTCCTGAAGCCGCTGTCCTGCCCCAGTCAAAGTTCAGTTTCACTTTGAGGAATGCGGCGTCCGACTAGTTGCCGTGTAGGTCTGAACATGCGTAGTTATTGCCCCGCACAATGTTTGCGGAGTGAAAAGTTGCAGTGTCATGTTGGTGTATATTCCTCCTCCCCCAACACCAGCACCACCAACAGCACTACAGCCTTTGGACGTCGGCCCTCAGCGACTCAGAGCACCGACGAAGTTCACAAGTGCACATTTGTCCCTTTGACGTGGAGGACGAGATATCAGCGGGTTTCCTGGTAGGACGGAGAGATCCGTGCAGAGAAACACCGGCGAACACTTATCGTGCTGACTGGGCAAGTCTTGCGTAACTTGTTTGAGTTGGCTTCTGTGTGAATGCGCCCCGTTCTCTTGCGACGAGGAGTTTGAGCGGCTGCCGACCAGGTGTTTTTGTAGGTAAGTGAATCTGCAGCTGTTGGAGAATAAAACCAGCGCGGACGCGCCCTTCGGTTGGGGGGAGAGAGGAATGGGGGATCGCTGTGATGTGTTTAAAGACGGTTCTCGTGAGTTTTTCCTCCAGCAGCACTCCTGACATCACTATTCCGACATTAGCAACGTTCACGGACAGGCTGATCCCTCGGCTGGGGTAGTTTGTACGGTTCTTGTTGAGCAGTGGAGTTTATTTCCTCTCCTGGTGCGCAGACTCTTAAAGGGGAATTGAAACGTTTGCTCTTTGTCGCCTTTGCATGCGGAGCGCTGAATGCTGCTGCTGTTGTGCCTTTTATTTGTTTTTGGTTTTGCAGATAAAATCAAATATATTTTGACTAAATTGCAAAATTCAAATAGAATCCGGTGGAATTTTGTTTAGGCGGTTTGATTTTAAAAAGTTGTTTATTGTTCAGGACCAGTCAAACGTAGGGATATTTACTTGATATTAGTTCTCTAAATCATTCCTTTGACGCAAGAAAATGTTAAAGAGGTCTCTATTGCTGTGCTTCTGCATTTTAAACGCAGATCCGGTGGCCATAGTTCGTTTTCTTGATTCGTTTATTCAGAAAAAGCTAACAGTCCCCAGACCAGTTTTAAATCATATAAAAAATAAAAATGTTGTCGACCTTTTAAAAAGGAAATTCCATAAAATGAATAAAAGTAGATACAATTTTTAAAGAAATAACTGTAGTTCAATTTCCCGTTGAGTAATTAATTGAATAAGGGAATGATAAATGCAAGTTTGTTGATTAATTTGCGAATCCGCGTAATTTTATAATAAGAAGATGATGAAAGGGGGGGAAGGATACACAAGTCCCAAAAGAGCATGCTTTTTAGGATAACAAGCTATTTTCCTACACGTTCCACAACAGGCTTGATGTGTATTTATTGTTTCTGTCTCTGGTTGAATGGCACACACAAATAAATTGTAGCTCTTTTTCAAATATTTTAGGCTGTGTAGCACTTGGCCAGGGTTTCTGTTTATTGAACTTCCTTACAAAAAGCTTGGGAACTACTTATTTCCTAAATTTCACCACCTCCAGTGTGTCAACTGTTTTTCCTCTAAAGGGAGGGAATGTGATCAGTGCTCTCTGTTCACCAGCAAGATTACACAAAATATCTTAGGCTGAATGTCATGACACTCGCTAAAGCGTGGGAGTGCGAGCAAATGGAGAACCTGTTCAGTTTAGCTGGAGATCTGCATCCCTCTCAAATGTGAGAAATGAGGCACTGGTGTTGTCTGATTTTCTAAATGATGTCCATTAGACTCTTTAATAGGTCAAATACACATTAACGCAGATATCTAATCCACCAATCAAATGGCAGAAGCTTGGTGCGTTCGGGCATCTAGACATGGTCAAACTGAAGTTCAAAGCGAGCATCAGATTGGGGGGGGAAAGGTGATTTAAGTGACTTTGAACGTGGTGTGGTTATTGGTGGAGATAGGTTGGTCTGAGTATTTCAAAAGCTGCTGATCTGCTGAGATTTTCCACTCAACCATCTTTAGGTTTTTCACAGAATGGTCAGGAAAAAAGATGATGTCCAGTGAGCGTGAGTTTTCTCTGCCTTGTTGATTCAAGAGGAGAATGGCCAGACTACTTCGAACTGATAGGAAAGCAACAGTAACTCAAATAAAAATAACATAGCAACTGTGTAGAGGTCCTATCTTATCCAGAGAGAGAGAGAATACACATTAAATGAATGATCACATCTGGAAATAGGCCTACTTCCTTTGGTTTAGGTGAGGGTGCTCTGTGCAGAAAGCAGGATACATGGCATTCACTTCCTTGGACAGTTACCTGCACTGTTCACACATAGGTGCAATCGAACATCGCACGGACATGGGTTAGACTTTGTTATCACATGCACTGGTCTACAAAATTCAAGCTTGCACAGCGGAACTTGCTTAAGAGTGGGTTTTTTTTTTTCCTTGTTGGGCTGTTATGGCTGAGTTAACAGATGTTTCAATTTTTTAAAACACTACAATCATCCCGTGGCATTCAACTCCAGTCTTCCTCTTTTTTTCCTTTTCTTTTTTTTCAGAAAATGTGCTTTTGTCATCATCAACATTTGTCTCGAGAAAAGTCAATGGTGACACGAAAGATGACACAGCAGAGGCGCTTTTGTCACTACTGTTACAAAACATTTCGAAGGATGTGCACTCATTACAGCTCAGCAGTTTAGGACGATATTTATTTCAGTTTTAATCTGTTTAAAAAGGTCGTTTTGAAATAAGTAATTCAATAACATTTCTAAACAGGAAATTTGCCATAAGTGCTGACTGCACCAGTTACTCTACTGTTCGGGATGTACGGAAGCAATCTGTAAATGGTTAACTGTCTGCCCCATTTGTTTCTTCTCAGAAATTTTGCACTAAGAATGGCGTGTGATTTATGAAAAGCAAACTCATCTGCAGTCGGAATCAGTGGCTTCAATGCTTCTCTTTGTTTTTAGTGTCAAAAGTATGATATCATCTGACAAAAAACTGCTTTTAAAGAAAAAGGAAGAAAGAAACTCCTTAAATCAAATTGAGATATTTGATTTAAGGAGTTTCTAAATGCAACTAAACTAAACTGCACTTCCACTGCGGTGCTACCAGTGAGGACCTCGGTCAAACAGAACCTTCATATCTAGCTAGAATCAATAAACTGGTCAGACCAAGTGTCATATCAGCGTTACTGTTTTACTCCCTCCTCGAGTGGACTTCCCCCTCTTATCTTTTTTTTTCTCCATCATTTTACTGTCATCAGTGTGTGCTTCCCTGAAAATCTCATTTTTTCTGCCCTACTACCCCCCCTTTGTCTGACACATTGGGTCATATGACCAGCAAGCAGGCTGACTAACTGTAGGCTGAGATGTGAGGTAGCTGGTGGCTGAGTAGATTTAATTGTGCAGCTCTGCAAATCCCCTTATCTCTAAACCACCTTTTGCTTTGACTTAAAAAAAAAAAATCTTCCAAAATGTGTGTGGCAATAGTATTTTAATTATGCACGCGTGTTGCCAAAAAGCTGCAAATGATGACATTTTGCATATAATAGTCAAAAGGATCTTGCATGGTTTAGCCTTCAGCGGGGCCTTGATTTGTCCGCCTTAATGCTTACATGTTTAATGATTCCAAGGGTTCTCACACAGACAAATGCACTATATCTACCAGGCAAGATAACAAAAGTCCTTTCTTCATCTCCACCTCATGAGCTGATTTGTTTTGCTTCAAGCTGGAGCAGCAGCAACTGACGCTGGCATGCAGGAGATTTTACTGTTTGCTTGACAAGTAGCTGATCAAGGTGTGCTGTTCTGCATAAAGACGTGTGCTACAAAATAATTGTTTTTGTCTTTTATTTACTTGCATTTTTTCATAATTTGACAGCTTAATGCATTAATTCTTCTAATTATCTTTAAACCTGTTACACAAAACCTTTTGCATATCTCTTACATAAGACGTAAATAAGTTTGTAAGTTGAGAGGACACCCTGTAGCAAAAACAAAACTTTGGGCAAACAAATTGGCCTCCAGACGAATGGCAGTCACTCACGCTTCCACCATTGCTTGGTCTTTAGTGTCAGTGATTTCAGTGAGGCAAATGCCTGATGTTGGAGCTTACTGACCAGACCTCGTCCAAGTTTCTGATTTTAGATTAATTCTGATAGCGAAAAAGCCTTAGGTGTGGCCATACCCTATCTGTTTGATAGGTTTATTTTGGTTTATCAGGCTAATCAAAAAGATAGCGAACTTAAACATTACAACTTAAACATTTAAATCGCATATTGAGAGTTTCAGTGAAAGATGCGGAATACAAGTTCGATTTTTTGAGCCTCTCAAACAGGGAGCTATGTGTAAAAATGAACTATTCCTGAATAGTTAATGCAAAATCTTTGGTGAACATCTTGAATTAAAGTCATAAATCTGCACTTCAATCGAAGCTCAATGGTTTGATTTTAAATTCACTTAAATAGTAGATAAAAATTCCAAAATAAAATAAGCGTCATTCTCCAAACATGTATAGACCAATCTGGCAGGTCAGTATTACGTTAAAATAGCAAGATATACCACATACATCAAAATATGCAAGTTAAAAATTAGCATGTGCCTGATGACTCATTTGGATAGATCAAAGTTGCTTTTTTTTTCTTTTAATAACTATATTTAATTATTATCTTCAGGTAGCATGATAAAAATCTATATATACTATAGGGGAAGCTGAAGGACTCTCACTCAGGCTTACTGGTGGTTCTAAACTGGTCATGGGTGTACCCCACCTCCTGCCCTGTGACAACAGTTTAAAAAAAGTTTAAGGACAATGATAACAATAGCTTGAAAGTCATTATCTGGTTGTGTAATTTCACTTCTCTTAAATATCAGTCTTAACAAATCTGTATTTAGCCAGATGTCACTCTATGAGGATAAAATATCACATTTAGTCATATGGAAGCCAAAAATGAAATCAAGCAATAGAAATTAAATAACACAAAAACAAAAAAGTACAAGGATAACTGGTTTATATGCAGACTGTTAACCTGCAGTTATGAAAATCTTAGAAGAAATCACAAACACAGTGATTATTTCCTCGGCTGAAAGCTGTGTCATAAAGCAGTTCGTCACAACACGTTTTTTTCGGATTCATTTGTAAGGAAGTGAAACCCACAGTGTGTCACAGTAACACACCCACATACGCATAAGAAAAAAATGCCATATCCGGAGCTCTTGATTATATTTGCTTCTTTTTAAATCACTGAAAAACTCTCAGCTTTCCTAACACCCCCCCTCTCTCTGTTTTACCCTCTTCTCTCCAGGATAAGCATCACATGAGTTGAAGAAGAATCCCTGCTATGATACAACTGATTGCAGTTGCACACATGTGCCAACCGCTTCCTTTTTTCATGTAAAAACGCTAAATGGCAGAAGACGTTGGAAAACGTCAGAATGGACTACTTTGAAAAGCCTGAATTCTTTCAAATCCGGACCAAAAGTAATTTCATGATCGTTGCTTTTGCTTTGGGAACTGTGTGACACAAATATTGTCAGTCATGTCAGATGGGGCAGGATACGTGGCTGAGCGAGCCTTATGTGGTTCACCGTCAGTTTACAAATACGGTTCCTTGCTGTATTTCTGCAGAGAAACGCATGACTTGAGCTTAATTTTTGCAGCATCTGGACATCTTACTTCGCCTGCTGGCTGTAGCAGTGATCACCGATGGAATGTACTATTACGCAGGGGGTTGTCGACATGCTAAAAGACTATTTTTGTGTTGAATGTTTTTTGGCAAAATGGAGGAACTGAGGATACTTGCACACTGTAGCCTTTACCTACTGATGAGTTGAAGACCAAAGGAACTTTCTCTGTTGAAAGTTTGAATCCAATGGGATAAGAACTAAAAACGTTTGACTGTAAAAGACTGTATCACTGAAAAACTAGATCTAAAGTGCTTTCTCCCCATAATGCACTGCCCTAAAAAGAAGAAACGTCCAACATGCGACTCAGATTTCTCAGCTATTGTGGTTCCCTCTATGCGTGGGTCTGGATATCTTGACTACACCGTCGAGAACCATGCTTCAAGGGCCCTGAAGGCCATGGATGAGTTCCGGCAGAACGAACTGCTGTGTGATCTGGTGCTGCATGTCACATACAAGGAGAGGACAGTCGACTTCAAGGTAATGGGTCGTGTTTGAAGTTTTAGAATCATAGTGTAGTTTGTGTTGTTGGGTTATTTTTTATGACAATTTAAATTTAATACAAAGGTCAGCATTTAAAAAGTGCTGCTGAAAAACAACACGCAGTGACAGCAAGTTTTTCCATTTACATTTTAGAAACTTGCAAAGTGCACGCCAAATATAATAAAAGGATCTCGGACAAGTTAAATATATAAGAGAATAATTATTCAAAATGATTCATATTAATGTGAACCCTTTTTTCTTTTTTTTTAAAGCGTAAATAAATTTAAAAAACAATTTGCAAATCTTATAAACCGCATTTTACTCACAATAGAACGCAGAAAACATCAAATGCTCAAACTGAGTAATTGGACCATTTGTAAGACGGTATTTTGAATTCGATGGCAGCAACATGTCTCAAAAAAAGGACAGGGCCATGTTTACCACAGTGTAGCATCACCTCTTCTTTTAACAACACTCATTAAGCCTCTGTGAGCTGAGGAGATCAGCTGCTGAACCTTTGGGAGATACCTTGTTCCATTCTTGTCTGATATAGATTTCACCTGCTCGTCAGTCTTGGGTCGTCTTTGTCATATTATCTCATTTCATGTTTTCAGTGCAGGCAAACCAGTGTAGCACCCAGACTCTTCTACTATGAAGCCATGCAGTTGGAATAGATTCCATATGCAGTTTCGCGTTGTCTCGCTGAAATATGCAAGCCCTTCCTAAAAAAGACGTCATCAGAATGGGAGCATATGTAACCTCTATACATCTTCCAGCATTGATGGTGCCTTGCCAGATGTTTGATCTGGCTATTTCACAGGCACTAATGCACCCTGATATCATCAGAGATCCATTAAAATGAGCTTTGGTCAAACGGGATGTCTGTGGATCATGTTCACATATAGTGCATTTGCACTATCCAACCCCCCACCCCCAATACAAGAAGGTGTGGTACCACCTCTCTGTTTAAAAATTGTGAGTCTCTGTTCCTATGAGTATTACCCAGTAGGCAGGGGAGGAGACATGCCCAGCTCTACCTGCTTCTCAGTCCTCCAAATGTCGTTCTTACTTCCTTTGAAAGCATCCTTGCCAGGGTGGCCCTCTGGTTAAGCCCTCTACCTTCAGCCATACCTGTTATCAGCAGCTCTCCTCTAAATCCATGCACTTCTTAGCCCAGTTAGTTAACATTTAGTGGTCTGGAAAAGTAGGCCCAGAGGATCTGTTAATTTTTAAGGCTAGAGTAACTTGTAAGAACCCCTTGAGCGATCTTATAATAATACACAGGTTTTAACCTTTACTTTTTCACAAGGGATTAAAAAGGAAATGTCCACAATTTAGACTTTTTGAATGCAGGATATTTAATTTACGCAATTTAGCAGTAGCAAAG